TTAGTTCTTTGTATCTGGAGCTGTGTCTATTGCTGCTGGAAGAAACATGACATTAAACCTGGTAAGTATTTCCCTGGGCCCAAAGCAACAAGCAGAATCAGAAGTGCTCTATCTCAAGACAAAGGAAATAATCTCCAATTCTCTGAATCATTTGGGCTCTATGGGGGTCATGGCTAATTCTTCCACGAGGAAACTGAGGTTTGACTTAATTTTATCACCCCTATTTCTGACACTCCATCCCTGGGATTAATTTATGAATACAGAATCCAATGCTTCAGCCCATGCTCCTCTTTCTTTCTTAAACTTAGGAAAATTATTTAAGAATGTGTCTTCAACCCCTTCAAAATAAGTGAATGTTTTTGTGTTTTCCAAAGGGAAGAAGAGCATGAAACAAAGGGACATAAGGGACGCTGATCATTCTCTTCCAGATCAAAGGCGGCCTGGGAATGAACATGCTCAGTGCCATGGTTGGGGGAATAGGGATAATCATGTTAACAGTAGAGCTGACTATGGTACGTGGATCAGAAAAAAGGGTCTTATTCTTGTAAGTGTTTCTGAGCTGCTTTCATTTTCTGAAGTTATATTTATATTATCTAAATGTATATTAGTCTTAGATGACTGTCTTTCAGTTGATCCTGGCTTATCACCACAAACAAAGATCTGGCACTTGGATCTCATGGGGAGAATTTTCAGTCCCTTTTTGCTAGGACCTACCAGAACAGTTACCTTTTTTTCTCACATTCTTCACTGAACACAGCGATGTTAGAAAATTGATCATGAGGACCTTTCTTCAAAGTCTCCAGGTTCGAGTTGAGATGGCAGTGGGCTGCCATGCTGGCTCAGCAAACTGTGTCATTTGTAGGTGGGGTGAGGAGAGTCAGGGCTCCAAGCCAAGATGCTCAGAGCCTTGGGGGTATATGTATGCGTAAGGAAAGAACAATGATATCACTTTCGTAGACCTGGAGGTTCTCTCCTCTTTGGATGAGGAAAAAGTATAAATTCATACAGGGAGGTTATTATAAGGAAAATAACTTGATAACTTGAAGTGGACAACAGAGAGAATTTCTAAGCCAAGAAAACTAAGGAAATACATCTGCTTTAATCTGAATTTCCCCACACTTATGAAGTTCCAGAGTAGAACTCCTCTCAGCCATTTTAGGATTTTCTTTTCAATTTTTCTTTTTTGGTTTGTTAGGAGAGAGAACATACCTGTTTCTATAGTGGAGAAAGAGTCAGATTGGCATCAGAGAATCCAGGGCCAGGGGAAGTATCCATCTATTAATTATATTCCTTTCCTTTTTCCTCTTCTCTCTCCTGGTGGAATCTGCTTCTTTTTAGAGGGTATTTGAGACTGCGATATTAGTCCTCTCCCTGCTGGAAGTCAGCATCGCTATCTCTCTTTCTGTGTTTGGATGCAAGGTGACCTGCTTTGTCACACAGGTGAGTGTTCAGGACCTGAGGGAGGGTTCACATTTGTCATGTGATGCTGAGTCTGTGTTCCTGTTTCTCTCATTGTGTCTCTTCTCTCTGAACCAATGAGAAGGATAAAGATGAAGAGTGAAGGAACGATCGTTGTGTATGCGACTCCTTCCTGAAATTGGAGGAGACAGCAGAACACAGAGAGAGCTATGGCAGATGTTTCTGGGAGCCTCATGTCTTGCTGGATATTGATTTTTATCTAGTGGGGATGTAAGGCCCTGAGGGAAGGGATATTTAACTCTCAGGTCCCAGGTTACAGAAAAGAAGTAGGGGTCCCCAGGATGAATTGAATCCCTCTAGCTGGAAGAGTATGTGAATAACAATATATATTATTCTCAAGCTCCACAGGTGGTGGTTATCCAGCCAACCAATGACAAGGTGCCCCCAGTAATGGCCCCTGATAAACATGTTTATGAGGACCTGGAGTTTTAACAGAATAGTTCCTGCTTTTAGAAAAATTATTCATTGGGTATCACTAGGTCAGTAATAACCTGCCTGCTGGAAAGTGTTCACATCTGTGCATGGGAACACTGTTACTGCAAAACCAAATAAAATACATTTTTTCCCCCTCTATTGATGCTGATTGTGATTTTGAATCCCATCCTCCCACATCGTCCCATAACCAATCATATGACTGGGATGCACAGTATCATTTCTCATGATAACTTTTAATGGAACTATACAAAAAAGTGAATAGATCATTGTAACAGCTGGCCAACTTTTTAAAAGATTTTTATTTTTAAGTAATCTCTACACCTAACATGGGGCTTGAACTTACAACCAGAGATCAAAAGTCACATGCTCTACCAATTGAGCGAGGCTGGTGCCCCCAATTTTTAGATGAATAGAAAGTGAACATCTTCATGTAACCAGCACTTGCATCAATGAGTAAACATTACCAAAGTTTCAGAAGACTGAATGGCCCCTTGCATTCACTCAGATCCCCAGGGTAACTGCAATCTTTGAATTTTACAAAATGGAATACTTTGATATGTATAACTGAGTATATATATTGGATATGACTCCTTTCTTTTAGCATGTTTGTGAACTTCATTCATGCTATTGCCAGTAACAATACTTATTCTTATTGCTGCAAGATATTCTATTGTAAGATTTATAGAACAATATATCATCTAAATATTGATGAATATTTGGGATGTTTCTACTTGGGATGAATAATGCTGTGCATAAAAATGTATCTATACACTTTGGTACATGCATGTGTAAAATTCCACTGGGCATAGACATAGCAGTGGAATTGCTAGGTTATATCCAAAGTGCATATAACACGCACGTGCCTTCTCACAGTGCTTGAGTTCCAGTCGTTGCACATTTTCACCTTGACATTGTGTGATTTCCATTTTAAACATTTTGATGTAGTTGTATCAGACTGTAATATTTTTAATACTATTTATTTTTATAACAGCTTTAGATTTATTAAAAAAAATTGAGAAGATAGTAAAGAGAGTTCCCATACACCCCAAATCAGTTGACATCTTACATTAGTGTAGAATGAACCATATTGATACATTATCGTTAACTTAAGCATTATTATTATTCAGATTTCTTTAATTTTTAGCTAGTGCCCTTTTCCTGTTCTAAGATCCCACCCAAGACACCACATTTATTAGCTGTCAAGTTTCCTCAGGCTCCTCTTGGCTGTGACTATTGACGAGACTTCGTTTTTGATGACCTTGATAGTTTTGTGGAATACTGGTCAAGTGTTTTGTAGAATGTCCCTCAACTGGAGTTTGCCTGATATTTTTCTCATGATTAGACTAGTGTTTTGAGGAGGAAGAACTCAGAAGTAAAATATCATTCTTATCACATTCAATCAAGGGTACATACTATCAACATGACTTACACTGTTGATGTTGACTTTAATCACCTCACTGAGTACAGTTTTTCCAGTATTTTCCACTCTAAAGTTAGCTTTTTCATGACTTTTATACTGTAGTCTTTGGAAAAATGTCACTATACAGCTACTGTGTGCAGCCCAGCCTCAAGGAGTCAGGAGTTATGATCTACTGCTTTGAAAGTGCATAAGTTATTAGATATTCTGCACTGGGGTTTTGTCTATTCTCTCCCACCTATTTATGCATTCAATTATTCATTTGTATAGATTCATGAATACTTATATATACTTTGGGTTATAATCGAATACTACTTTATTTTATTGCTCAAATTTTTTCTGATTTCATCACAGTGGCTCCTGCGTCCCTTTTGTGTATCCCGTCATTGTGTCTCATTTTGAGCACTTCCTTGTTTTATTGCACTACCATATTCTCAGGCTCATCTTATGTGGTTCCTGCTCAAGTCTTGGAATCAGCCATTTCATCAGGCAGCCCTGTTTCCTTTTAGTGGAGAATGGTATTAGAAATCAAGATCTGGACTCTAGGTGTGCTTGTTGCTATTAGGATGTCATTTCTTTCAGGTTGTCTCAGCTAACAGAGCAAAGAAATATACATATGTCTACTAACTCGTGTGTCTTAGTTGAACTGCCATAACAAAGTACTATCGACTGGGTAGCTTAAACGCATTTATTTCTCACAATACCAGAGGCTGGATGTCTGGGATCAGGGTACCAGCATGGTCAGGTTTTTTTCTGGCTTCCAGATAGCCATTTTCTGATTGTATCCTCAAATAGTAGAGAGTAAAGAGACGAATCAAGCTCTCTCATGTCTTTTATGTAAGGTACTAATTCCATCACAACAGATCCACCCTTTTACCTCATTCCCTCCCTAAGTCCCCATCTCCAAAAACCATCATTTTGGGGATTAGAGTTTCAACATATGAATTTGGGATAGAGGAGGACACAGACACTCAGTCCATAGCATCATGTTTATACAACTCTATAAAAGCTTCTATCTGTAGCCATCTGTTATAGTATATGTTACATCTGGTTTAAAAAAAAAATCACAAAAAGTGCTAAAAAAGACAAAAGAAAGCCCACAATTTTTATACCTTTAAAAAACTATTCTGTGACCCTGTGGACTATTTAGAACTATTGAGAACATACTTTGTATGATTTCTATTCTTTTAAATTTGTTAAGTTGTGTTTCAACACATGAAGTAACCAACTGGTAAATATCCCATGTACATTTGAGAAAAATGTACTGTTGTTGGATGGAAAAGTTTGTAACTGTCAATTAGATCAACCTGATTGATACTGCTGCTCTGGTCATCCATACCCTCACTGCTTCTCTGCCTGGCTGATATATCAGTTGCTGTCAAAGAGGTGTTGAGGTCTCCAAATATAATAGTATATTCGTCTATTTTTCCTCTTAGTTTCCTCCATCTTTTTCCTCAAATATTTTGGACCAGCCATAAGTGGCCATTGAACATTTCGAATACGGTTACTGAGACTAAGAAAATAGACTTAAAAATATTTTTATTTTAAATAATTTAAATTTAAATTGCCATATGTATCTAGTGGTTATTGTATTATATAGAACAAAAATGGAATTGTTTGATCTCATGGGACATAGTATTAATTTTACTGGACTTTGAAAATTGTTGGTTATATTATTCAAGAAGAATGGGGTAACATTTTGATTAGTTGTCAGTGGGCCAATTAAGCAACACAAGCTTTTATATATGAGCTTATTTATGTAAAATATCATCAGAAAAGCTTAATGTACTTAGAATGATAGAGTATAATTAATTAACCTAACACTATATTAATGAAATACTATAACCTATAGTATTTCATATAGTTAAAAGTATTTTTGCCTATATTTACTGTTTTCCTTGATGGATATCCCAATCTAAACTGAGTAAGCACGAGCTAGACCATTTGAGAGATAAATAAACCTAATGTTTAGCCACAGAAGATACACACCCAAAGACACAGAGTGTAAAAGTGATGGACCAAACTTGCAAAGTATTTTCACAATTAGTTCAGGAAACTACGTTTACCTCATTGTTTTTTCATCAAACGTTAAACCTCGGAACTTTACGTCACCCTACATTTCCTGTCTCCCACACAGTGCTGTTTAATGGACTGTGGCAAGAAGAGACACATGCTTCTTCCAGACCAAAGTACCTAATTGCCAAAGGTCCGACTTCTAACTTTTTCTTTCCCTACCTTGGCAAAATTAAAAAAAACAAACAACTTTTTGAGATATCATTCTATTTGGTAGAACCCATATCAGTGTGGGTCTAAAGTGAATAGCCAACTAATAATGAACATGAAAAATAGGAAGTAAATGAATTTCTGATGTGTTAAGCCATCAATGTTTCTAGGTTAAGTTTTGTAACAGAGCATAAACCTAGCCTGTGATGACATCCAAACATAACAAAAAAAGTGGTGACAACCAAATTCTTAATATTATAAATGCCAGTTGCTATCTTTATAACTCTAAACCACACAGTTGTATCCTCACATATTGTATATTTGTATATATAAATATACACAGGTATATTTATGCCTCAGTGGTCCCAGTATGTGCTTCTTGCTATCACTGTGGATTCAAAATACAGAAGTGCAGCTTCATATTTGTTTGCTAGTATCTGTGGGATAACGTGAAGGTGTTTCTTCCTTACGTTCAAGTTCTTGATAGATTGAAGTTTGAGGAAACAAGTCTTGGTAAAGACCTTCAGAAGGTGTTTTCCAGCAAAACAATATAGAAATCTGTAAAAAACAAACAAACAAACAAACAAACAATGCTAAGGAATAATCTGTAAAGTCTGTAAAATAAGCCATTAAGAATAATATAATCCAAGTCCTCAATGATTTGTCTCCAAATATATGCTATCTTACTCCAAAGATAAATTGTGTGTACTTTGGGCCCAGAGGAGCCTACTGGCTGCTCTCCAAAAAAGGTAGAGGGTGAGGTCAATTTCAATCATGACTAATACTACCCAATGATTCAACAAATGGTGTTGGGAAAACTGGATAACAACATGCAAAAGAATGAAACTGGACCACTTTCTTACACCATAGACAAAAATAAATTTTAAATGGATTAAAGACTTAAACATGAAACCATAAAAATCCTAGAGGAGAACACAGGCAACAACCTCTTTGACATTGACCGTAGTAACTTCTTTCTAGATATGTCTCCTGAGGCAAGGGAAACAAAAGCAAAAATGAACTATTGGGACCTCATCAAAAAAAAAAAGCTTCTGCACAGTGAAGGAAATAATGAATAAAACTAAAAGTCAACCTACGGAATGGGAGAAGATATTTGCAAGTTACATATCTGATGAAGGGTTAGTATACAAAACATATAAAAAACTTATAAAACTCAACACCCCAAAACCAAATAATCCAATTAAAAATGGGCAGAAGACAGAGATTTTTCCAAAGAAGACATACAGATGGCCAGCAGACACATGAAAAGATGCTCAACATCACTGAGCATTGGGGAAATGCAAATCAAAGCTACAGTGAGATATAACCTCACACCTATCAGAATGGCTAAAATCAACAACACAGGAACAAGAGATGTTGGAGGGGATGTGAAGAAAAGAGAACTCTCCCCCTGTTGGTGGGAACACAAACTGGTAAACGCATACTGGAAAATAGTATGGAGGTTCCTCAAAAAGTTAAAAATAGAACTACCCAACGATTCAGCAATTACACTAATAGGTATTTACTGAAAGGATACAAAAATACTAATTCAAAGGGATACATGCACCTCAAATGTTTATAGCAACATTATCTACAATAGCCAAATTATGGAAACAGCCCCAAGTGTCCATCAACTGATGAATGGATTAAGAAGATGTGGTGTATATATACAATGGAATATTAGCCATAAAAAAGAAAGATATCTTGCCATTCACAACAATGTGGTTGGAGCTAGAGAGTATTATGTTAAGTGAAATAAGTCAGTAAGAGAAAGACAAAGATCATAGGATTTCACTCATATGTAGAATTTAAGTAACAAAACAAATGAACAGAGGGAAAAAAGAGAGAGGCAAACTAAGAAACAGACTCTTAACTATAGATGGTTACCAGAGGGGAGGTGGGTGGGGGATAGGTGAAATAGGCAATGGGGATTAAGGAGTGCACTTGTTGTGCTGAGCACTGGGTGTTGTATGGAAGTGATGAATCACATATTGTACACCTGAAGCTAGTATTTTTAAAATTTTATTTACATAATATTTACAAACCCTTGTGTTGAGGGCTGACTTCCAATAGATCACAGCAAAGGAGCTGCTCTGCTACGAAGAAAACCCCCACCCAGAAGCAGGTTGTCTAAGAATGGTTTAGCACCAGGTTCCCCATGACGTGCATTGTGCTACGGGCAAGGGGGTGGCCCCCTTTCTGGCCACACCCATTTCCCAGGATGAGTGGATCTCCACATCACCTGAAGCTAATATTACATTGTATGCTAACTAACTGTAATTTAAATAAAAAGTTAAAAAAAACTACCCAATGATTATTTTTTTCCAGATATTTAGCCAGGTGAGTATCAGACTACCTGGCTTATTACTGTTTAGTTTTTAGTACATGGACTTCAGCCTTATGAGATTCTGAGTAAAGCATCCAGTCGGGTCCACCCAGACTTCTGATCTACAGAGCTGTGAGGTAGTAAGTAGGTGGTAGGCATTGTTTTAAGTTGATATGCTTGTGGCAATTTGTCAGGCAACAACAAAAAGTTATCATGTGTTTTGGTACTGGAAATGGGGTAACAATACAATATTATTGCTATAAGTATATCTAGGATCTGTAAATAAATACCGAGGATACAGGAGTGGCTTTGGCATTAGGCAGTGGGATGAAACAAGGTTGAGAAAAATTTTGAGGAGCAAAATTTTCACGAACAAAACTTGGAGGAGCAACATTTTGAGGTACAGTATGGATAAAGCCTAAAATGTCTCAAACGGTTTGTTAGTGCAAATAAAGACTCTGAGAATGCTATCAGTGTGGCTCAGAAAGAAGTGAGGACCCTATTACTGGAAACTGGAGAGAGGGTCTTGTGGTGCAGTGGCAGAAATTTAACCGAATGTTCTCTGACAGTTATGTGGAAAGCATAACTAGTAAATGATAAACTTGGATAACAAACTGAGAATTCCAAAGCACTGAAGGAAAAGCCTGGCTTCTTCTTGCTTACAATAAAAGGTGGAAGAGAAGAAATTCTACTTATGTGTGACACCTTTTGCCATGCCCAGGGGTCCATCCCACCCATGGTCTTCCTTTCCTGACTGACTGCCCTGAGGAATTCAGACTTGGCTTAACTAGCCCTTAGAATCATAGAATCCAATGCTTGTGATAAATGTTATATACTTGAAATGAGGGGAGTTCTGATGCCATAAAACTTTCCATTTTCTGTTTGAATTAACTCTAACTGACACACAGCCGTGGTAGTAATTTCAACACACAAAAAGAACCAGTTGATGAGGTTGGGGAAAGCAGGCCACTAGCTCTGTACTACCTGTAATTGTTACATGTGATAATAAAGCATAAAATTCTAACTATATTTGTGTTTCTTAGCTTATTTTATTTTCAATTGTATATACCTGCAATTATATATTTCATCTCCTTCAGGTTTTTAAATTAATTATGCCTTGATTTTATTATTTTTTGAATGATAGATACTTTGTATATTCATCACACTAAAGAGTATACTTCATACAGTAAATTAATGGATGGATGGATGGATGGATGGATGGATGGATGGATGGATGGATGTTTGAATTCATGGATATATACCCCTCAGTGAGAGTTTATGTATGGACTAGAGAATTATACACTGTGTATTCCAAGTGTGCTCAACACACAACTAGTAGCTCCCAGGTTGTCCATACAATCACTTATAGTTTATATTTTTGTTCATTTTACCAAAAAAAAAAAAAAGGTCACTGACAGCATCATCTAATGAAATAGTTGAAATCATCCTCTTTCTTCCAAGAATTGCACTTACCCAGTGAATATTCTTGTCATCCACATTATAGTTGAGCATGGAGAGAGGTAATGAAATTAAAATTTGCAGACAAGTTAGGATAATCAGGACAATCACAAGTTCCTGTTAAAGAAAATAAAATGTCATGCATTACCATATACCAATGATCATGACTCATCTTCCTCATGCTCAGATAACATTCAGTCTTCCCAGAATTCAGGAGGATAATACTTACAGTTGCAATTGATTTGATGCCCAAACAGAAAGTTTCCTCCTTGCAATCATAGCGGCAATTTTTTGTTAAATTGTATGACAGAATACAGATCCCAATAATCGAGACCAAGGTGCTGAGAATGTTAGCACCTAGATTCCCTCTCAGCTGAAAAAAAAGGAAATAACTAGCTTATAAGTTAAGGACCAGGGGTTTCTAGACCCTATAAACTGGGAGGAGAATTCTGACTTAACTTAGCCATGGGATCTACAGGCATTCATCATCCCTGGATTGCCAATTCAGTTCAATGGCAAATCACAATTGGGAGAAGAAAAGTGGGAGAGGATTGATCTTTCTTAAACACATACCATGGATAGGATAAAAACATTGTGGACATTTTAGCATCTCTAGTTTCTGACCCTGTATTAGCTCCTCCCTCCACCAAAAATAAAACTCTGCCTTGCTCAAGCCTAAGCCATGCTTTTATCTTTATTAACATTGCCCTACCCCATACCATAAAAAAGCTTTAATAGCTAGATAAATCTTTACTCATTCTTCTTATGGTGACAAGATATGGGGATCAGAATTTCTAAAATCCCAGGAGATCCAGCTTGTTTGTGTCTAGCTATAGGATGATCACATGATTCATTGGGCCAAATGGACAGTTACATGATGAAATGTACTATAAAATGATGAATCCCCTGGATGACTGGGCTTCACATGGGAAAGTCAAGAGTGTTATAAGTTCTGACAAATGGAAATGACAAATGGAAAACTTGTTAGCTTACCAGTGATTTTGTTTGCTTCTTGGCAGACACAACAGTCAGACTTCCAGAAACGATAAACTGTTTATAAGATAAGAAAGATGTCTGCAGAGTAGCAGCTTCTTCCAACTCACCCTCCCACCCCATTGCCAGATGCATGTTTCTCTTCCTATCTAGTGCCCCCCACCTCCCAGGCATCCCTTCAGAACTCAGAGGAAAGCAAATCATGAAAGTGTGTGCACTGCACAATTAAAGTACCATAATTATACTTTTATCCTTATGAATAGTAAAATTCCTTTAGCTAAATAAGAGAAGTGGACATAAAAACCACAGCAGAAAACTACTTATTCAATGTGGAGAAAATAAAATAAGTAGAGTAAATATAATTCGAAGACACACTTTGGGGTGCAGTAAAGGGGAAAACGTGAGCTCAGATTACATGGCATTTTTCTCAATGTATTTGGCCAAGAAGTGTGATGACTTAAGAAGAGTAACACTTCTCTACCCCCAGCGTCTTCTCCGATCCAAATATTATTACATTTCAGAGACACTTCTTCCATGTGTCAAACCCAGGATTTTCTCCTTGAGCAAAACAGCAAGATTATACTGAATAGTATCATACTACACAGCAATGAATAGAGCTTAAGGAAAGTGTTACATTAGAATATATATTAAAGTTCAGGTTGAAAATTCAATCTTAACTATCGTTGCAAGTATTCTAGAATTGGCAAGATGCCATACAAGTTGTGTGTTTAGTGGATGAATGAATGAATAAATGATTGGATAATTATAATTTTAGATGTGAGATACTCACAGACAATGCCCCGCAGAAAGAGAAGCCTGTGTAAATTGAGAAGAAAATGATTCTGTACATTTCAGAATTAGGAACAAGAAATCCAATTATCCCATAAAAGAAGCATTTCACACCAATCATAATCTGAGCCATCTGGATAAGAGACAAAACAAACCAAATTACAAACCATCAAAATTAACAAAACAAAAATACATGTTTTAAAGACAAAGGTGAGCATTTTTCAGGAGAGAGAATCACCTGGTCCAAATATCCTGGTCATCCATAGGATTGACCCCCTTGAATACTATTAAAAGATCTGCTAAGAAGAGTCAGATCCTGGAGATGTGCTTTTTTTTTTTCCAGAGGCCAGCCCATATGAGTCAACTTTGCTTTCATAAGATACAGTCACAATGAGGCTCATCCAAGAGCTTCATTTGCAGTCTCCTCTTAATGCACCCCTCCCATGCCCATATAAACATGGTCCCTTGCTTTTAATCAAAGTGTCTTTCTTCCACTCCACAGAATGATTGACACAGGTCATAACCTGGTGCCTCTATGACAACCACTTCATCAGCCAAAATAATCCTTCACCCTCAATATATCCCCCAGTTTCTCCTGGTTCAAAATTCTTTATTAGTGGTTTACTTACTTACCCCCAGTGCTTCTAGATTCCCCTTCAGGAATTTCTGCAGCCTGTCTAGTAGATGTTTCAGGGTACTAGATGTTTCTGTCTCTCTCAGTGGGGTACTTTGGTTTTGGTTTGGAGGAATGTCCACAGGCATCCTAACAGAATTCAAAGTTTTGTTCATTCTGTAATAGATGGTCGTCTGTTAATAGCATCATATATGCACCATCATATGCCAAATATTGTTAATCTTATTATAAGGGAAGTAGATACTGGGCTTCTTTTATCTGAGGTCTTTATCATATATGAAAAGAAGTCACTGGCCAAGTGATGTTCATGTGTCCATGCTGCTGACTCTGATATCACTGATGTGATAAACAACAGTGTAAATGAAGGAGAGAGATGAGAGAGGTTGAGGAATATCAAATCCTACATAACTATAAGATATCCTCCCAGGTTAAGGAATGCTATAAATCTCAAGCCTGGTTTTGTGTTTTTTTTTTGTTTTGTTTTGTTTTTTTTAAGTTGCATGTGGCCACAGACTTGTAAAAAAGTACCCACCATGAGAGTTGTGATGTATTTATTTAGCCTTATCCATGGTGGAGTGAAAATAACCTGAGATTTAAAGGCAAATAGAGGGACACCTGGTGGCTCAATTGGTTGGGTGTCTGCCTTCGGCTCAGGTCATGATCCCAGGGTCCCGGGATGGAGTAGAGCTCCTTGCTCAGCAAGGAGACTGCTTCTCCCTCTGCCTGCTGTCCCCCCCGCCCCCGCCCCGTTTGTGCTCACTCTCTCTCTCTTACACAAGTAAATAAAATCTTTAAAAAAAAATAAAGACAAATAGATCTGAATTAAAGACATTTCCCTTTAATTTAATCAAATGTATCACATAATTTATCATCCATTCCAAGATAATTTTGAGGATGAAAGAGAATAGGAGTAGTATCCATAATTATTCTAGGGAAATAAGAGAGACCCGGGAATACACTATATAAAAGCCACCTTACCTTTAATTTCTGTGTGACAATGAATGCTATATTTAGTTCAAGCCCCAGGTTTGTCAACATAAAATACAATCATGCTTATGTCTCATATGTGTGACACTGGAAATGATGCATCCAATTTTCCTAGTATCATCAGAGATGTAAAAATGTAGCATAAATTCTCAATTATCTTCTTAAGAAGTTAGGATGTGCTTTGGCACTTGTTGTCAAAAACAATCATGGATTTCCATAGTAGAGCAAACCCCAGAATGGCCACCCTTGAAAACTAACTCATTTTAACCTTTTTCCCCCCAAAATATTAGCTTCTTATTTCTTTATCATCTTCTACTATATCAATTTTATGAATATTTGCTAACATTAAATTAAGTTTGGAAAATAGGGGCAGACTTTATTCCTTATTGCATTGGTATTTATGAATTCTATCACTCTCCCTATAATGTTTTAACTTAGTTTTGATTACACCTCATACAATTTCTTCTTATGTTTTCTCCTCCCATTATGCTAATTATATGGAATTAGACCCTTCATATAACTGCTTATGTATAAAATTCCTGTATCAAAGTGGAAACATAGTTTCTGACTCTTGAGATCCATGCCAAATTTCTTAAAAAAAAAAGAGGTAGCAGTGTACTCTGGTCCAAATAATGTTTGTATGTGTAAATTTCTTTGCAGTTCTAATGAAAAGATTAAGATATCATGATATGGAACTCTTATGGGACACTTAAGATTAATCCTAAGTATTCAATTTTTCTATTCCCAATAGTTGCTTTCAATGAAGGAGTTGAAACAAGGAATTTATCTTATGTGATCACACTGGAGTGCTAACAAGAACATTTCTTTTTCTTTTTCTTTAGTGGATGAGTCTTTTCCACTAATATTTCATAAATAAAGAGTATCTCATCAATCAGTTATTATATCTTTTTAAAATGTGACCTTTATATCCAAAGATGGTAGATAACTTGCCTAAATTCACAGACATTTTACAGATGTGGGACCAAAGAGTCATAGGTCTGATAAGTAAGAATCTGCTCTTTAGATAAAGCCTGGCTCAGACTGACACATGCCTTATTTAGCCTCCTGAAGCCCACACATAACAGGTTTGAGTGTTTGAGGGAACCGGAGCTTTCAGTATAACTTTGTTGGGGGGAAAATAAACTGTTGACTCCAAAAAGTATCTTCTATCACGCCTCACTGCAAATGCCATTATTTACTCATCCATTCACTCAACAAATATGTATTTTAGGTTCAAAATATTGACCATAATATTTACCGGGCACATTTTTACTCACTAAAATTCACTTTAATGATTTTTATTACAGATATGTTATTATATACTGTAATAGTCTGTCAAATCTTAAGCCTGTAGTGCAGCCTTTGACTGCTCCTTTAAGCTACCATTCAGCTGTTCAATATTTTGAGTAGGATTTTCACATTTACAGTCATCATCTTTCTAACAAATGCTGCTATTTCACCTCTGTTGCCTATTTAGAGAAGGACATTACAGTATTTCTTGGTTACTCCACAATACAAAAATTAGTCTTGTTTTCCACATTGTCCTCACCTTAAATATTAACTTCAAAGCCCCATTACCCTTTATAAGTTAATACTGCTTCAAACCCACCTAATCCTCTTCCTTATACCTCTACGAGATTAGTTATAAAACTCAAATGATTCTCACCGAGAATACTATTGTGAACTTAGCTGGCTCACCATGTCCAGTCTTGACGTTCTGAATTGCACTTGCACATTATAAACAAAAAAGTTTCAATGTCACAATTCTAACCAAATTTTCCCCCTGTTATCTTAAATTGGCTCTGCTAGAAAATAGGGCTGGAGACTAACTTCCTTCTTAATGCTAAGCCTTACTATCTATCCACTGATGCGGAAAGTGCGCTTGCATAATCAGAAAGTCAGAAAGCAGGAATGAAGACAAGATCAAATGTGTCTAAGTCACTGAAACTTTCTACGTTATCTAGAAAAAAAAATTCCTGAAATATTTGAAATACTGAGTATCTACCGACGGAAAGAAAGGAAGAACTCTCTCTGCCTTGAGCCCACATTCTCTCCAGTCTCTTTCTGTCCAGGTTCTACATCTGTGCCTCTCAGAACATAGACAAAAGTACTTTCTGGTGCTCTGGATAATGGAAAAAAAAAAAGTTCTACCTACCTAGGTTTATTCCACTGCAGGAATGTGGGAGTCTGTAGTCTTCTTAAGCTTATATCTCTTCTGTGACTATCAAAGACTGTACCAATATGTGGGGGAGGAAAATCTATGTTTTGACCTCTGTGTTTCCTCATTTGTTGTTATTTCCACACCTAGAACTCCAGATAAGCAGTTCTGGTATATTCAGACAAAGTTGATATACATCATGTTTTATTGCACAAAATTAGAAGCATTATAACCATAATCCTCAATACCAACTGATGGTTTTATTTCCACACATTCTCTTTCCATTTCTTTCCATTAATCTGACAAAGACTGTATTTATTCTTTTAACTTACTAAATAAAATTATTTCCTTTGGAGCAATTTCTAGGAAATTCATATTTTCAACCAACTTCTCTTGGTCTTTGCTTTAGCATCTTATTAACTATACCTTCACTAAAATAAAATAAACATAAACAAAACAAAAAATAAATATATTTCCAATGATATTTAAATTTCAGGAATAGCTATCTGTCTGTCTATCTATCTATCTATCTATCTATCTATCTATCTATCTATCTATCTAATCTATCTATCTCAATGATCAGGCTCAAATATACCAAGCAAAGTATTAACATATAACTGTATTAAGATGACATTACAATAAAAATCAACAAAATGGAGTAAACTTCGTTCAGAACAACCAAGGAAAAAAGAGAGAAGACAAAAGTTATCAATGTAAGGAATAAAAGAACAGATATCACTGCAGAATGCAGAGATTTTAAAAGGAAAATGAAGAAATACTGTGAACAAATTTATGAAATAAATTTAACATCTGGAAAGAAATAGAATTACTTGAAAGACACAAATTATCAACATTGACTCAAGAATAGATGATCTCCATAGTTTAATACCTTTTAAAGAAATTGAATGTATAGACAAAACCATTACAACAACAATAACAAAACCAACTCCATCTGGTTAGCCATATCACTGGCTAATTCCACCAAATATTTAAGGAAAAAAATAATTCAACATAATCCCTTCTATTTTATGAGGTCAGCATTACTCCAATACCAAAACAAGACAAAGATATCATAAGAACTACATAGCAATAACTTTCTTTTTTTTATTATGTTATGTTAGTCACCATACAGTACATCATTAGTTTTTGATGTAGTGTTCCATGATTCATTGTTTGCATATAAGACCCAGTGTTCCATGCAATACATGCTCTCCTTAGTACCCATCACTGGGCTAACCCATCACCCACCCCCATCCCCTCTGAAACCCTTAGTTTGTTTCCTGGAGTCCATAGTCTCTCATGGTTCATCTCCCCTTCTGATTTCCCCCCCTTCAGTTTTCCTTTCCTTCTCCTAATGTCCTCCATGCTATT